ATTTACAATCTTGATGGCTTCATCCAATGTTTCTGTCTCCAGAACCACAAGAACTGGACCAAAAATCTCCTCTTTGTAACAGGTCATATTTGGCTGCCGGAGTGATGCATCCAGAAAAGAAGTCAGCTTTTTAGATTTTGAGAGTTTAAGCTTATTTGGTACTTTCACTTAATACGCATAATTTACATGGACAGCTTTCCTGCTAACAGTTTTCATTTTAAACCACCTATAAAAAAGTCCTGTCTTACCGTGTTCCATCTTCCAAGCTACCAATCATATAAACAACTTGAAATTCCTATTAACTATAACTACACTCCTTATCCTTAAGCACTGTTTCTTTAGTTCATGACCCATCACTAGCTTCTTTGTTAATACCTGAACAACTTGTTTCATACAGTTATGTTTCCAGTTACATGAAAATTCATTTTTTATTACTCGAATCTATATTAAATGCACCAGGAGAATTTTTCTGTTTATAGAAATCCCATGCTGTTTTCCGTATCAATCTATTTTCATTCACTTCTTTGCCTCCCAAATAAGTCTATGCATTTATATTTTGATATCAGGTCACACTTACACATTCAAAACATCCTTCACCACTGCAACTAGTGAGCATTTGTTGCTGATAAGTGGATTTTTCCTCTATGGTTCTGTAGCAAGAGATTTCATAATTTCTACTATACTTGCATTCAACTCTGAATTATTCAGGATTATAGTGGGGATATATGAATGTCAAAAAAAAAAAAAGCCTCCTAACCCCAATTTAGTCATGAATGTTAGGTGAGAGACTTTCAGAGTTTTGATAAATAAAAATTGACAGATCAGTTCTTTTTCTTTTGTCACTTTCTGGTGAAGATGCAGCTAAATTTTGGGCACAGAGTAGGTATTCAATAAATATTTAGTGGTTGATATATTGATTAAGACACTATAGTAACTATAAGCTAGGCAGCAAGAGGGAAGAGAAAATTAACATTAAATAAGTAACCAATATAATATAAGATAGGGTTGGCAAACTACAGTCTGTGGGCCACATGTGGTATCCTGCCTGTTTTTGTACAGCCCACAAACTAAAAATGGTTTCTGCATTTTTTAAATGGTTGGAAAAAAATATCAGAAGAATATTTCATGACATGTAAAATTATACAGAATTCAAATTTCAGTATCCATAAATAAAGTTTTATTGGAACACAGCCACACAATGTTTATGGCTGATTTTACTCTATAACGTCAGAATTGAGTAGTTGCAACAGAGACTATATATCCCTGCAAAGTTGAAAATACCTAGCCATTTATAGAAAGTTTATTGACCTCAGGTATAGCGGAAAGAGCTCTGGTTAGGAGTTAGGAGGGAAGACTCATTCAGACTCCAGACAAAATAACTAAGCAATCCTGACAAGAGATGTCTTAGCCATTAAATGCCTTAATTTATGAATTAGAGGGATAAGATTCTACAGCTCTGAGGTTCCTTCGGCTCTCGTATTTGTGAAAAAAGTCAAGGAGTTGTTCACCTTAACATCTGAGATGATGGTTGGTCCAACAAAGTTGCCATTTTCATAGCCTTTGACTTTAATTTTTCGGCCATCAAGAAGGATGGAAGCTCCCTCCTTTGTTCCACTATCAATTAGATGACAGACTCGTTCCTTGGCCTGGGGAGTGATGAGAGGGCCAAGATCAGCTCCAGGCTGGTCTCCTGTAAAACAACATAGAAGTATTTGAGATCTTCATTAACACACTATAACTGCTAACACAGATGAATCCAAATGACAAGTACAGTATAAAAAACAATGGTAAGAATAGACATGATTGCTTCCACTGGCCAAGGCCAATGCTAAAATCAAGAGCTTAGTGCCACAGACGCAAAATCTAAAGGAGCTAGACAGGTGATTTATTACCTGCATTGACTCTCAGGTTTTTGGCACGTTCCACTAGTTCTGGCACCCACTTTTTAGCTTCTCCCACAAAGATTGCTGTGGAAAGAGCCATGCAGCGCTGACCAGCAGCTCCAAACGCTGCCCCAACCAGCTGATTCAGGGTATTTTCCTTATTGGCATCTGGCATGACTACTCCATGGTTCTTGGCTCCCTAAAGAAATACAGAAAGTACATGAGTCTTCCTTGCCAAATACAATTAAGCTAAGAAATTAAGCAAGGAATCTGAGCTTTCAAATGAGAATTTAAGGAAAGGACTAAAGAATTCATCCTTTGTTGCTTTGAGGACAGAGATTTATTATGTTTAATACTGTTGAAGTCTTGGCAACACTGAGCAAGTCTTCAGGTTACTTTTTCTCTAGTTTTTAGCTGATAATCTGATATGTATTTATTTAGATCAAAACCACTACCAAAAACAAAAAATTTTTTTAAAGTCCTAATCACATTCAAACTAATAGGTTAAACATTGCATCCAGAATCCCCCTTTTCCTAAGTTAAACAGGAAAGAATTTGTTGTCTGCTGGGGTTTCCAGTTATATGAAGAGCAACGTAAGCAAAGAAGCTGCCAGTAAGAATGCTAGTAATCAGCTGAAAGGCAAAATAGGAGGTAGACCACCTAATAATTTTAAGAGGTCTCCCAAACTGGCTTACTTCTCGATACAAAGCTTCATAAACTTCTTTTCTATGTAGGATGACGTATGGTTATACAGTTGAGTGCCTGGTTAGATACTATGTCTGGTACTTAATTTTATCCCGTTACGCATAATATTGAACACAGAATATACTCAATAAATATGTAGTGAACTGGGAGGGGCTTAAGTCAAATTGGCCAAAACATTCAGCCATGAAAAATAAGTGAGCATATCATGAACCGTTTGCAAACCTGTGCAGAGATGGCTATTTTTTCTACAGCGTTAACTGATGGAAAAAAAAATGAGAAAGCTGCAACAGGACTTTATATTTATTCTGAAAGAGTTGCTATGTATTTGGCAAGGAACTAGTAAGACGACAACAAAACTTGGAACCAAGTAAACCACACTCACATATCGAACATTATCAAATGGGGATGTGTGGCTCTTTCCAGTGCTTTAAGTAGCCTGGACCCTTAGGGAAGATCATATCTTTTGACATTGGTAGTGAGGATATTACTTAAAAGAAGGAAGGATAAAGGGCTATAAGTATGGTATAAGAGAGGAAATGGCCAGAACCAGAATCTGGCTGTTACTGCTAAAGCCCAAAGAATTTGATAACATTGTTAGGGAGGAATGTACCCTCTGTCACCAAAATTAGTTGGATATGATAAAAGGTAATTAACATGATTTTGAATGAAATTCCTCAAAAGGTTCATGGTTAAAGAGAAAATGTTCAAGATGAAATGGTAATTAAAAACACTAACATTAGAGTGGAATGAGTGGCCACTCTGAAGGGCTGTTTCTAGGTAATTTAAATACATAACTAATATCGGGGAAATAAGGAATAATAATCACCATATTTGCTTGAACTCTCTTGCCATGTCTTGATCCTCTCTCGAAGATGTACTCTCCTGCCTGGTTGGATCCCACAAAGCTGATTGCTTTGATGCTCGGATGATCACAAATAAAATTTACAGCTTTAAGAACAAAATAAATGATCACCACAAAGAAATAAATGGCTTCTCAACATGGCAAATTTCCCCTTTCCCTACTGCTATGGAGTTGAAGTTTTCATACATTTGTTTTTCTATATTTGATTCTCATTGTGAAGTTCTCTTCTTGTTTCTTTTAAATTGCAAATTCTATTTAGCCTCTTCTAGTTTGTTATTTTTCTTATTTACTATTCCCGAATTTCTACTTCTAATCTAACTCTTAAGGCTACAACTACTATTTCCCTCCAAAATAATAAGCCTTTTAATATCGAACCCTTCCATTTTGTGCTTTAAGAATATGGTATTTCCTCAACTATCACTATGTACTGGGACTCGCAGATATTATTGTGCCCTCTTGTGAGAGGTAATATAGCATAGTATTTAAAAGCAAAAATCAGAGGCATCCCAGGTATTCACATCCTGACTTTGAGTTTCTAGCAGTGTGACTTTAGGCAAATTACTTAATTTCACCATGTGTCAATTTTCTCATCTATAAAATGGAAAAATAATAATACCTACCTCAAAGGATGATTGTAAGGGTTAAATAATATATGAAAAGCACTGAGAACAGTGCCTGAAACACAGAAGCACTATTTAAGTATTAGCTATTATTATATGAATTAGAAGGCCTTCAGTATCTTTGAGGGTTATAAATTTTGCATTAAATCTTCGCATGAATTCCCTTAACACTGAAGCAAAAATTTTCTATTTAACGTTTTTTTTTTTTTTTTTTTTTTGAGACAGGGTCTTGTTCTGTTGCCTGAGCTAGAGTGTAGTGGCATTATAGCTCACTGCAACCTCAAAATGGGCTCAAGCAATCCTCCTGCCAGGGGTGCACTACCACACCCAGCTAACTTTTGTAACTTTTGTATTTTTTGTAGAGATGGCATCTTGTTATGTTGTTCAGGCTGGTCCCAAACTCCTGGCCTCAAGCAATCCTCCTGCCTTGGCCTCCCAAAGTGCTGAGATTACAGGCATGAGTCACCACACCTTGCCTCTCTTTAAACTTATCTGCATTTCTAGTGTCTCAAAATAAACTGTAGGGCAAAAAGCACCGCTACTCTCCAGTTAGTTATCTTAGTACACAGAGATGGCAAAACAGTCAACAATCATTACTTTCAAACACGGAGGTTACTGATTAATAAATACCTTCTCCATAGGTTCCTCATCCTAAAATGTCCAATCACTACTCAACACCTGGATTTTTTGAGGTAGCCATTTAGTAGGCACATGCAAAGGGTTACCTTCATGTTGTCCATGAATGATGTTCAGTGTTCCATCAGGGGCACCAGAATCCTGGAGCAACTTAGCAAGAAGCATAGTTGCTCCAGGGACTCGCTCTGATGGTTTCATTAGGAAGGTATTTCCACACACCATGGCCATGGGAAACATCCAAAGGGGGATCATGGCAGGAAAATTGAATGGAGCAATGCCTGCACACACTCCCAGAGGCAGACGGTAAGAATAAAGGTCCATGTCTTTGGTGATGGATGGCATGGTCTCTCCCAGCATAAGAGATGTCACACTACAGGCATGCTCAACCACCTCTGGAACAGAGAAGAAGTCAGGCCACCAGTTCTCTACACTGTGTACTACTTAGCACTGTCATGCTCTGTTCAGCCCTGAGGACAGGGAGTGGTTCAGGCCCATGGGGGTTAGGGGCCTGACTTGCCCTTCTAAGTGAAGGGGTTGTACAAAATGAGATTCTTTGAATGGGAAAAAGACAGCAATAGGCATATACCCACTGGAAGATCATCTGAGTAAAATAAAGTAAATTGGTCTTATAGATACCTGAGAAGTATTACCATTTTCCACAAGTATTAAAAAGATATCATGGGATGGCAAAATCTACATAAAGAATGAAGCAACCTCCCCATACTGGGATCTTTGCCTCCCATCTTCCTTCCCAAAAGTCCCATGAGGGATGCCCAGCTTACGAAGGCCCCGAAATACATCTCCTTCAGCATCAGCTAGGGTCTTCCCTTGTTCCAGCGTGATTAATTTGGCAATTTCTTTCTAGAGAGAAAATACATAAACAGAAATTAGTGTGAGGATGTTCCTCTTCTTAATTCTCAGGTAGCCAAGGAAGAACAAAACTGAAGGAGAAGCAGTACAAGGGAGAGCAGCTGAAATGGTCTCTAAGGGAGTGACAAGTAACAGTTTGCAAATTATACCCTTCAGATTTCTTACCAAGTTTTCTTTAATAAGTTGTTGATAGCGGAGCATGACCTGCTGACGGCTTAATACTGAAGTGTCTGCCCATGCAGGAAAAGCACGTTTGCAGGAAGCAACAGCTGCATCCATTTCAGCCTTGGTGGCCTGAGGGACACGACTGATTACCTCATTGGTGGCCTGATTGGAAAAAGAAGCACACCATACTTTGCCTCTGCTTCACCTTCTCCATTTTACATCTAGTCACAGAAGCAGCACTATGTACTTTATGATAGACACCCAGGCCAGTACTTTTCCACCATGGTCCTAGAATTCCAGGCTTGTAAATTCAGGTTCCAAAGCAGCTTCACTTACTGGGTTGTGGATATCGATCCATTTGTCGCTTTTGGATTCAACAAACTTCCCATCGATGAAGAGCTTTACAGTTGGCTGAAGAAAACCCACAAAACTTAGAATTAGTTAATTGCTTTGCTTCTCCTTTTCCCTTTCACAAAGAGGAAAGAATCCAGGTTGATAACTGAATCTGCTGGTCTCTAGAAATGTTATCTCTAGGAAAGAGATACACAATATCTCGTGTATGGTGTATATCAAGATGTGGCAGAGCCTCTCAATACTGTGCTCTCTCTGACAAGGGGAAATTCCCAGGTACTCATACAGTGGAACTTCATGAGCAAAATCATGGCACTGTGAAAGTTATACTAAAAAAGCAACTCTGTTAACAAAGATTAGCTATTGTGATTTGCTGGCCCAGCTGACTTTCTGTTACATTACTATGAGCATGTATTACCTTTAAGATCAAAACATTTTTAAAATGTTTCTATCTATGTGTATTTTTTCTGAGAAATAGCTCACTTTCACTAAACTTTCAAAGGGATCCGTAAGCCAAACAAGGTAAAAGAACACTGTGTTATAGAAGTAAGTATGCGTACTTCTATATGGCAAGGATTTAGAGTAGTCCTTATTAGGTTTTAGGTACTGCAAATGACTGACAGATAGATGGTATGTAAAAACAATTCTAAAGGTTGTTAAGAAGAAGACAACTGCCTGGAAGGGTCTACAAAACTTCTAAAAGCCATGAAAATGTTTGTATCGTTTGACATAGTAATTCTATTTCAGAAGGGAAATAATCCAAAGGAAAGAAAAAAAACTATATAAATAAATGTCTGTTGTATAATATTGAAACACTGAAGCAATCTAAATGTTATACAGGGAAATTATTAATTAATTCAAGCTACATCTACTTGATGGAATATTATACAGCCATTAAAATTATAACTATAAAGACCATCTTGTAATATTGACAATGTTTGCAATGTAGTAGACATAATTTAGATGAGAAAACCAAGATAGAAAATTTTACACACACTCTTATCACAATTGTGTAAAGAAGGTAAATGGGAATACCCAAAAACTATACTGGATTCCTTCTCAGAAATCAATCCTTTTTTTTTCTCTGGAGACAGGCTTTTCTTGCTTTGTCACTGGGGCTAGAGTGTAGTGGCATCATCATAGCTCACTGCAACCTCAAACTCCTGGGCTCAGGCATGTCTCCTGCCTCAGCCTCCCGAGTAGCTGGGACTACAGGTATGTGCTACCACGCCCACCTAATTTTTCTTTTTTAGTAGAGGCAGGGTCTCATTCTTGCTCAGGCTGGTCCCAGACTCTGAATCTCAAGTAATCCTCCTCCCTTGGCCTCACAAAGTGCTAGGATTACAGGTGTGAGCCACTGCCCCTGGCCAGAAATCAATCTTTATGCCAAATAAACTCACCACTGAAGAAGAGAAGGAAGATGCTGAATACCAGGTGGATTTCACTTTGGAAGAAAACTGTAAGACAAAATAATGATTAATTTGATATATGAGAGCAGAAAGTTATTTAAAATTTAGCAAATGGCTACTATATGCTTAACATTATACTAGCTACCATGTGTGTATGAAAAAGTCCTTGGTGCTTTTTTTGAGACAGAGTCTTGCTCTATTACCTAGGCTAGAGAGCAATGGTGTATAGCTCACAGCAACCTCAAACTCCTGGGTTCAAGCGATCCTCCTGCCTCAGCCTCCCAAATAGCTGGGACTACAGGCACATGCCACCACGCCTGGATAATTTTTCTATTTTTTAGTAGAAACGGAGCTTGCTCTTGTTCAGGCTGGTCTCGAACTCCTGAGAGCAAGCAACCCTCCTACCTCAGCCTCTCAGAGTGCTAGGATTATAGGCATGAGCCACCGTGCCCAGTCCTTCTTATACTCTCAGTAGAGGTGACAGGTTACTCACGTCCACCTTCCTAAAGCCCCTTTCACACTTGTCTTCTGTGATGCCCTGGTGTCTCTTCTGTTTGGCCACTTTTCTGCCTCTTTTGCTGGCTCATCCTCTTCCACCTGGCCATTAACTCAAGGCTTAGTCCTAAACCTTCTTTTCTTCTCATTCTGCATACACTCCTTGAGTGATTTTTATCAACTCTTATGATTTAATTATCTAGATCCCGATCATTCCCAAATCTGTAGTCCTTAGCCAAATCTTCCTCTTCAGGTAATAACCACACAACGGGCTGGGCATGGTGGCTCACGCCTGTAATCCTAGCACTCAGGGAGGCTGAGGTGGGAAGACAGCTTGAGGTCAGGAGTTTGAAACCAGCCTGCGCAAGAGTGAGACCTGTCTCTACCAAAAACAGAAAGAAATTAGCCAGGCAACTAAAATAAGAAAAAAATTAGCTGGACATGGTGGCACACACCTGTAGTCCCAGCTACTTGGGAGGCTAGGACAGGAAGATAGCTTGAGCCCAGGCGTTTGAGGTTGCTGTGAGCTAGGCTGATGCCACGGCACTCTAGCCCAGGCAACAGAGTGAGAGTCTGTCTCAAAAAAAAAAACCAAAAAACCCCACAACATTTTCACCTGCTCTTGATCATTGACAAAATAAATAAATAAATAACTGCATAACCATCTTCACCACATCTTTACTTGGATATTACTTAGGCACACGATGAAAAAGCTGAACTCTATCTTTCTCCCACCAATCTGCTATGCTTTCTATAGTCCAAGTTTCAGTGAATGGGGCCATTATTTACCTAGTTGCTGAAGGATCCCACCCCAACTCCTCCCTCTCACTTCACAGTGAATCAAACAAGTCCTGGAAATCTGTCCTAGAAGTCTTTGTAACATACCACCCTCTTCTCCCTAGCCCTCCTGCCATTACCAATCTATGCTATCATTGTCTTTCACCTAGACTTCAATAATGGCTCCTAGCAGGTCTCCCAGACTCCAATCTTAAATTTTCTGACTCTAGTTTCTATCCCATAATCAGAAGGTCTTTCTAAAACACAAATCTGGTCAGATCATTCCCTTGTTTAAAATCTTCCAGTGGCTTTCCATTGCTCCTGGGATAAAGACTAATCTCTTTGATGTTCCTTAGAAGACTCTACATATATGTAGTATTTTTGCTTCTTTAGTTTTATAGCTTGCTTCTCTCCTCCTTGTTCTGTAGGCTCCAGCCATTTTGAACCTGTTTTGTGCTCCTTGCCCTGGTACATGCTGTTCCCTTGTGCCTGGCACTGTTTCATCTCATTTGCTTGGCTCACTCCGACTCCTTGAGGTCCCCATTTAGTCATCACTTGCTCTAGAAGTCTCAACCTCAGGTCTAGGGTAAGTACCTGATTGTGAAGTTCATAAAGCCCCCAAATTCCTTTATTTCTCATCTCACATTATAAAATAAAGCAATAGCTTGTTTAATTATTAAGTTTCTCTCCTCTTAGATCACTAGACTGTTGTGTCTTCCATCCCTTGCATGATTCTTAGAATAGAGTAAGTACTTGATAATATTTTGATAATATTTTGCAGAATGTAAGAATGAGTGCTCACCAAGCAATTATTTGATATTTATTTGTTTCATGTGCTCTCTCTTACAGGGCAAAAAAAAAAATCATAGATTAGTCAACTCGAGCATTTCAGGCCACTTTTTATTTTTTCACTTGCACATAGCCTCCCTGCTGTCAAGAGGACACAAAAGGCATGAGTCTGGTATTATATGACATTATCATATAGTTTTTGACGGGTTTTATCTCCTATCTTAATTTCCTAAGAAACACTCATTTTATCACTGTTGCTGAAGAAACTATCCTGTGTGATCAGTCACATCAAACTTTCTGCTCTGTAAATGTTTATTTCCTACTTGCTGTTTGGCTTAAGAATTCTCAGCTCCATCAATTACTTACTAGTTGGGTGACCTTGACAACCTTAAGTGTCAGGCAATTTATTTCCTTATATTAACTCTAATCTTTACACATATTCTTTTGTTCTTTCTTTCTTCCACCCCCCCCTCCAGAGAAGCGGTTTTGCTATATCATCCAGGCTAGTCTCCAACTCCTGGCCTCAAGCAATCCTCCCACCTCAGCAGGCTGTGTAGGACTATAGCCACTGGGCCTGGCAAGACTTGTTTTCTTATCTCTGAATGGGAATGCTAATATCACAAGGAGTAGAGAGAGGTTTTAGGTTAAGTTTTACCACCCTCCATAGCAGAGAAGATAAGGTGAATACTTGAAATAATTCAAAACTCTCTCCTTTATAGATCCTTTTGATAGTCCTCTAATATTCGTGGCTGCCAGAATTTGGTCTATTATTTATCAAAGTTTCATGTTACAGCAGCTCCTAGTTGACTAAAGATTACTATCTCTGTTCTTTTCCTTTCTTCTTCTTTAAAGAAGCTTCAGTTCAGAAGCTTCCTCAAATGAATCGGAAAACAATGTCTGTTTCCAAAATAAAGTACATGGAAAGAGATTAGATTCTTCTCCTTGATGGAAAGGACAAAATACCTTCCCAATGTTCTCAACGACTCGTGATGGGAGGGGAAGAGGAGGCAAACGAAAAAGGCAATTTTGGTAAAAAATTTCAAGAAGTTGGTAATGGAAAATACAGGGTGGAAACTTTGTTTCCCTGCTACTATAAAAAAAGACACTAGAACATAACTAGGATCAAAGCAAGAAATAGTGAGTGAAACCAGACCATCTGGCAAATACCTCAAACCCGTTCTCCATGCTGTCCCATTAAATAGCTTATTTAAACATGAACCTTTGTGACTCTATCAAGAATCTTAAAAATGCATACATTCCTGTAGCAGAGCTCACTGAAGCCTGGTGAATACTAACAGTACTAAAAAGCCCAACAATGTAGAGGAAGTTCCCAGGCTGGATGTAATGAGTGAAAAAGGCAATGTTGTTTCTTGCAAGTTTGAGAATCTTGCCTGCAGTAAATCTTGCCTCATATTCTAGGTCCTTGCTAGGCTGTGAATAACAGGGGAACCGCTATGAACAGAGTTGGAGATCACAGGCTTCAAGCATGCAGCCCCTCTACCTCCTTAGGCTCCTGCTTCTCTCTCCTTAGGCTGGCTTCAGAGAGGACCCAAGCCCCATGGGCAGATTGAGGGTGTGTTGGCACTAGAGGAGCTGTTTGGGGCGGGAACTTTTGCTGCTTGTCTTCTTTGGCTCCCATTTTCTACCATCTGTTTTAGAGATGTTTAGTACCTGGAATGCATGTGGAACATACTGGTAGCAGAACCATGTGTCCTTATTTATAATACCTCCCAACGTGAAAATTGTAACTTCGCTGAGAGAAAGTTTAAATGAAAGTCTTGGCAAGAAAGGGGACAGTCCACAGTCTGTGGAAAATACAAAGAGCCATATTTTTGGGAAAAATAGCTTAGCAAATTGCTGCCTTTGGCGAAAACCTGGTGTACACTTCTAGGAGATTCAAAGTTCATTCACTGACCCTCGCTCCTTGCGTGCCCCCTCCCCCTTACCTCAGGTTATAGACAGTGAAGTAGGGTGGGGGAACGGAGCAATTTGGACGCCCCAGGCTGGGGACAGAGCCCTAAGAAAGGTGAGCAGAAAGGGGAGTTTCAGGGGGAGAGAGAAGTGGCTGGTGCAGAGCTGAAAGGGAAAGACGGTGGGCGGACTGATTGGCGAGGGCAAGAGAGTGACAGCGGGGACGGGACAGGGCTGGAGGAGGAGAGTGGGCCAGAGCTAGAAAAGAGGAGGCTCAGGAGTGACAGGGCTGAGGGCCAGGGGTGATAGTCCAAGACTGGCTCCGTGACGAGGGAGGGTACAAAGTGAGGGTTGGGTATGGACGGGGCCTCACAGGTAGTGTGGAAACACGAGGTTCGACCAAAAGGGGCTGGGCCAAGAAGTCGGTCCTGCCCGAGGATGGATTGGAGAGTGGACGCAAAGGATCCAATTCCTAGCGTCGTGGTCCCTTGGCGCCACCCTCACTCGCCTGCAGGATCCGGGTCCGCACCGCCGCCGCCGCCACCACCGCTGCCATGGCTCTCGGCCGCCTCTGCTCGGCTCCCAGCGCCTCTGCTGCCAGCGATTCCCCAGAAGCTCTAGGGCTGCCAGTCCTCGCCTTCCATCCTGCTGGACCTCCTCATTGGTGGCGAGCACCATTTTCTCTAGCCAATCATCCATACGAAAATCTGACTCCACCCCTCATTCCCAGCCCTGTGGTTATGTGACTGGCCAGGAGCAGAAGCGCTCTCACGCCCTCCCACTTCAGACAATTCTGTTGGCTGAGGTAGGAAGACGCCCCTGACTTGGGTACTCTACAAGGAGCACACGGGGAAGACGCCCCCTAACCCGGAACCCCGATTGGCTACAGGCATGACCGAGGCCCAACCCCCCCTCACTGAGGAAAGTAAATAACACCCTCCAAGAATTTTGCTGTCGCTCCGCCTCAACAGCAGCACGAGGGGCGTGGCTATTATTAGGGGCGGGGCCAGGCACAGATTGCCCTATGGGGCGGGGAAACAGAAGGGGCTGCGAGTTGGTGATAGGGTTTCTCTTTGGGGGCGTGGCCTGTGGATCCTCGCTTTCCCGCCGACGGTTGGTCACGTCACGTGATGTGGGTTGGAAGATGGCGTCTCCCACGGACGGTAAGAGCCGGCTTGGAGATCCTTTGCCTGCAACCTCCTTCTTTCCTTCCCTGAGAACGTCCACTCTCTGTCTGCCCTTCGAACTGACGCTTCTTTCTTGGGCTCCTCTCCTTTCCCTTTCACTTCTTTTTCTTGAGATCCATCCCCGTTTTCAGCTCATCGGTTTTTCACAGCAGGTCCGGAGGTGCCCATTTCCCCGCTTTGTACCAGACGGGTGGAGGAGGGTACCAGGGCAAAAGGAAGGGGGTCGCCTGGCTCTCCCTTGGCCTTGTTTGGGTGAGGCTGAGAATCAAAGAGGAGATACTGCTGGGGGAAAAGAGGTGTCTTACTGTGTAGCTTTTTCCTTCCCTGGATGCCCCATTGAAGGATTGATTCTCTTCTCATTGAGCGCCCGGATGGAAAGATACTCTCAAACCCTAGCAGAGGCTGGTGGCTGACCTCATCTCGGGACTGAACCGCAAGAGAAACATTCTCTCCTGTTTCCTCTGTTTGGAACCGTTACCCTGGCAGCAAGAGAGGTGGGGGACATTTTCGGCCCCTCGCCATGAGAGTCTCAAGGAAAATGAGAATTGAGCTTTTCAGTGTAGTCTAAGATGCAAGTCATCTCAGGTAGCAATTAGGTTGTTTTGGTATACCCACATGCTTTTGTGCTTGGTTCTGCCTTAGAGAGTTAGGGTCTTTCAGTCCTTTTTGAACTCCAGTTTTTGCTTCTACCACCCCCAGCCTCACGCCGATTTTGTTGATATTAATATGTAGTTTTTCCATCTCAAACACATTTTGTGTTTGGAAGGAATCTTGGAAGTTCATTGCAAGAATGAGCCCAAAGAGAGCTATATTAAGTACCTGCTGTATATATGAAAGGCATAATAATAATGGTAGGTACTTTGGGAGTCGGAAAGATGCATCAAACATGTATTTTTTCAGTTTCAGTTTTCATTTTTTTAAAAAGAAATGTGATATCTTGGTCTCTGAGACTTCCTTGCTCTATACCTCTACACCACTTTTTTTTTTTTTTTTGAGACAGAATCTCGCTTTGTTGCCTCAGGTATAGTGCGGTAGTATCATCATAGCTCACTGCAACCTGCTGGGCTCAAGCGATCCTTCTGCCTCAGCCTCCACAGTAGCTGGGACCACAGATGCACACCACGACACCCGGCTAATTTTTTTATTTTTGGTAGAGACGGGGTCTTGCTCTTGCTCTTGCTCAGGCTGGTCTCTAACTCCTGAGCTCAAACTGTCCTTCCCACCTCTCCTACCCGCCCCCGCCACCCCCGCCTGGTCTTCCCAGAGTGCTAGGATTACAGGCGTCAGCCACCGTACCAGGCCAGGTTTCATTTTAGATGTCGCCTCCCAAAGAGGGTTTCCCAAAACAATATCTGGAGTTGTCCTTCTCCACCATTATTTCACTATCTCTGCATCTTCACTGTCAGCATAATCATTCTGTTAACTTTGTCCCTTTCATGCTAGATTATAAATTCCAAGTTGGTTTTGTTCATAGTTGGATTCCAGGGTTTAGCACAGTGCTTGGCAAGCAATAGTCCTTCAATTAACATTTATTAAAAGAATGAATACATGTGTACAGAAATAATATATTACTTGATCTTAAGTTTTATGTTTAACTGAGTCTTAAGATTTTTTGTGCACAGATACATACTGTATAAGAAATTATAGATGTTCAGAGTCAAAGGAGGTTCTTCTGCCTGGGTGCTCTCTTGCTAAAATAGCCTTCTCTTGCCAGAAAAAAGGGCATTTAAAAAGTCAGTTAAAGGAATGGGGAGTTATTGTTTAATGGGTACAGAGTTTCAGTTTGGGAAGGGGAAAAAGTTCTGGAAATGATTTGATGATTGCACAGTGTTAATGTACTTAATGCCACTGAAACTTTAAAAATCATTAAAATGGTAAGTTTTATGTTATATATTAATAATATAAAATATATTTCACCATAATAAAACTCAGCCAAGTTGTAGAAGTAATTATTATTAAAATTTTTAGTTTATTATTAAGTTGTTTATAAGTTTTGGAGATATTTTTCCTTTTTTTTTAATGTTCAAGATCAGAATTGAGAAGTTTTGAAGATTTTAGAGCTGTTTTTGAGTTTCATTTTCCCCTGTCTTCTCTCAATTTATTTTCCTTTCTTTGGCCAGGAAGAGTATTAAAAATGTACTTTTTTCCTTTGGTCTTCTAACTGTCTCCCTGGTCATTTTGTTTGTACTCGTCATTTTTAAAAGTTTTCATTCTCATTTTTTACAGAGTTTCACTTTTTTCCACCTAATCTTTTTTTCTTTTTAATCTGACAAAATCAAGTCAAGCACTTTGAACTTAAATTCAGCTTCTAAATAGGTATCTCATTCTAAAATATTCCACTGCCTAGCTCTGTGACTTCTATTTTTAGTGTTCTACCTGTCGCTGTCTTTAAAATTTACTTCAAATAATGTTGATTTGAAAATAAGTTTAGGTCATTTAGTCTTTCATCTTTTTTCATGCTAAATTTGCTGGAACTTCTTTGAAAAGGAGAAAAATGAAAGTCAAGGAAAGCCATCTAATAATTTATGAGAGTAAGATTTACAGCAGAGTTATATCCCAGACTGTGGTATCATAAGGTCACCCATGTAGGTTATTGAATCCAACTCCCCAATAAGTTTTTTTCAGTAAGCTTTTCATCAGTAACATTTCTTGGGAATTTGAAATTGGTGTTTTGGGTTACACACAGCTTTTCTTTGTTACCATTTTTGGATACGTTAGTTAAGGCAATGTATTAGAGATGAGTTCTTTTTCTTTTTTTTTTAATTTTTCAGACATGGGGTCTCACTATGTTTCCCATGCTGGTCTCGAACTACTGGGCTCAAGCGATCCTCCTGCCTCAGCCTCCTGAATAGCTGGGACTGTGGGTGCGTGCCAATGTTCCTAGCTCAGAGTTGAGTTTAACCAATTAAAATGCCATTGGAAATTCCCTTGGAATATTTGGTAAAACAAATTCAGCTTAAAGAAAAGCACATGTTGGAAAATTTTACACATATGTCTATTTTCCGGGGAGTGAGTCCATAGCTTTTTTTTCAGATTTTGAAAATCGTGGCTTACCCAGAAAATGTTACAAACCACTGTTTATAGCATTAAATGAACTAACTTGTACAACTAGCTAACATACTGAGCGCACAGTAAATACTCAACAAATGTTAATATCAAATACCTGCTGTGTGCAGGGGAAGAGTAGAGAGGAAATGATGTTGAAGGCGGGGGCTGGATCATGTAGAATTTTATAGGGCATGGTAGATATACATTCACAGATTTACCTGGGAAGAAGTTCTTTCTCTTTTTTTAATTTTTTTTAATATTCCTCCCCTCAACCCTGGAATAAGTTCTTTGAGCTGGAGAGTGACATGAACTGGTTGACATTTTTAAAAAATCAGTTCTGACTACTTTGTAGAGAATAGATTTGGGAGTGGGGAGGGAAAAGGATAAGAATGGGAGCAGGGAGGTCTGTTAAGAGGTTATTGAGGTATAGTCCAAGAGAGAAGTGATGGTTCCTTGGATTAATTTGGTTTCAGGGTGTATTTTGGAGGTAGAAACTGCTAGATTTACTGATGGATTGGTTATGGAAGGGTGAAGGGAAAGGAAGCATGAAGGATGACATCTAGGTTTTTGATTTGAGAATTGGGGTTCATGGAGGTGCTATTTCTTGAGGTGGAGAAGATTGGGAGAGTATGGTTTTGAACATATTAGGTTTAAGTGGTTTTTCATACATGTAAATGGAGAAAGATGTCAAGTAGCCACTCGGGCATAGAAGTTCAGGGGAAAGGTTGGGGCTGGGAATATAAATATGGTGACATTGGCACATAGATGAATGTAAATGCTATGGGACTAAATGAGGTAGAGAGTGGAGCCAGCCTGGGATGGAGCCTGAGTGGAGGGGAAGAATGAAGAAGGAAGAGTCAGTGAGGTAGAAGAAAGACCAGCATGGTAGTTTTATAGAAGCTGGGAGTAGTATTTCAAGGAAAGTGGTCAGTGTATGCTGCAAAGGGGTCGTGTAAGAGAGAACTTATAAGTGACCACTGGATCCAGCAACATAGGTCATAGATGACCTTGACAACAGCAGTTTCTATGTATCTAGGGACAGAAACCTGATTGTCAATAGGTTAAGGAAAGTGTGAAGTGAGGAAGTGGAGACAACAGAATAGAAAACTCAGGAACTTTCGCAGTGAAGCCGGTGTGGAGGAGCTCATGGGGTCAAGGAAGAGTTTTCTTTTTTTTAAAGCAGGGAAATTCCAGAGTAGGCTTGTTTTCTGTTCAACATGAGCCTGTAAAGGGTAGAAACTGTTGGTATAAGAGAAAGGAGATTATTCAGGATGATGTCCTTGACAAAGCAAGAGATGATGGCATACAGAGCCCTAGCAGGGAGTTTCTCTTTCATGGGAGCAGGAACACTTAATTGTAATTGGAGGAAAGTACAACGGTATGAATGAAGATGTAAATGGTTCATTGATACTCATTTTTCTTAACACCCCAATAAAATATCACTCCTGTTTTATAGATTGAAAGAGTGAGGTTTGGTAAGGGTGAATAATTTATTTATATTACACCATAGCACAGTAGCATCAATAGTTATAGAACTTAAATCTCTAGACTTCCAGGTGAGTGTTCCAGTTTATGTTCTTTGAAATTGAAATGTCATAAAATATAAATTAACGTGTTTCATGTCTTCTTGGTTCATCCGGGTGTTTTGTTCTAGGGACAGATCTGGAAGCATCTTTGCTAAGTTTTGAAAAACTTGACCGTGCCTCACCAGATCTTTGGCCAGAACAATGTAAGTTTTGCTTTCTTTATGTTAGAATGAATGCAGAAGAACCAGTACTCCTTGGAGAGGTTTTTTTTTTTTTTTTTTTTTCAAACTTCCCCCTACTCCTTGGGGAGATTTTTGAAGAGTTATCATTTAACTAATGATTAAAGTTTTTATTTTACTTCAAAGGGAAAAGACAAATCCAATGTTAAGAATAGCTGTTTAGTGGTTTAATTTTTTTCAGAACACGGTGTGACTCATGAAATAAAGAGCCTTTAAACAATACTTATTTAAAAAAAAAACTGTATCTGTAATAAATTCAGGTTATAGTGAGATGCATAACGCATTTCCTTGCCTCCTTCTAGCACTTTTATAAAGTTAACCACTGTTAATAGTTTGTTACAAATCCTTTTGGCCTTTTTAATGCTTATATAGATAAGCGAATAAATTTATTTCAGTATATAGAGGGGGTTTTTTGGTTTGCTTTTTATAATGATAGAGTCATACGTATAGGCAGCTTAACTTATTCTACCTAGTAATTTATTAATGAATCTTTCCATCTTAGTATGTGTAGGTCTACTTCATTCTTTTAAATGTATTTTGTTGTATAGTTATGCTATAATTTATTCATACCCTATTTGAAAACCTAATTTATATCCAATTTTTTATTTTATGAACAATTTATCCATGGATATCCTTGCACATATATCCCAAACTGTGTGTGAGAGTATCCATTTCCTCACATGATAGCCAATATTGGATGTTACTAATCTTATTAATTTTAGTTTGCATTTCTTTTTTTTATTAGTAAGGTTGAACATTATTTCATTTTTAAATATCTTATTTTTATTTTTCTATTTTTTAATGTGATTCTTCATGTGAGACATTTAAATAAATAATTAGACTGATAGAACAGCATACCTAAAAAGGAAGTTTAAACTTTCTGGTAAGAAATATTGTATCTTACCAGCCCCCCAACCAGCTAACTCCTGATCCTTCAAAGTTGAGGCATTATTTTTTCTAAGAAGCTTGTCCTGCCTCCTGGGTCTGATTTAGATTTTCATTTTTTCATCCTTCCATAGCACCTGGCATCTTTCTTGGATGCTTAAACAGTAATATAGATACTGATTTACTCTCTCTCCTCTTCCAGACTATAAGCTTCTGAAGGCAAGGCTGTTTTCTTATTATTTGAATCCTCTATGCCTAAGCACTCAAATATTGAATGAATAATGTTGTTTTTTTTTCTTTTTAGTACCAGGTGTTGCTGAATTTGCAGCTTCTTTCAAAAGTGTAAGTAATATCTTAAATAAGATTAAATACCTAATGAAGTTGATCGAAAGTTTTGTTCCTGAGTAAAAGCTCAAACTTCTCTTATTTCTTTATTTTCAAGAATAATGTCATAGCCAGGCGCGGTGGCTCACGCCTGTAATCCTAGCTCTCTGGGAGGCCGAGGCGGGCGGATTGTTTGAGCTCAGGAGTTCGAAACCAGCCTGAGCAAGAGCGAGACCCCGTCTTTACTAAAAATAGAAAGAAATTAATTGGACAACTAAAAATACATAGAAAAAAAAAATTAACCAGGCATGGTGGTGCATGCCTGTAGTCCCAGCTACTCGGGAGGCTGAGGCAGAAGGATCGCTTGAGCCCAGGAGTTTGAGGTTGCTGTGAGCGAGGATGACGCCATGGCACTCTAGCCCGGACAACAGAGTGAGACTCTGTCTCAAAAAAAAAAAAAAAAAAATAATGTCATAGCCTTCAAATCATTTTATAACTGCAGCCCTATACATCTGTTTATTATCATCATGTTAATTGATGATTTTGCCTACCTCTGTCCAGATGCTCTACTTTGACATTTTGACCTTTGTCTGTTAACCTTTGTTGTCAACCTGAAAGCTTTGTAAGGTGCAGCAGTTGAATTATTTAATGTAATACCCAAACCAATATTCTTTTTGCCCAAACTATTATTTTGAAGGTTTTCTCTTTTGTTTATGTGGTTCGTTATGACCTTAACTTACACCTCCTTAGAGGATTTTGAAATTTCTCAGTGCTCCATCAGAAACCTGAAGAAAGACATCCGTTAGAGCTAGAGACTTCCACTTCTAGGGCGGCAGTCATTGTGCTTGATGCTCTAAATATGTTCTCTTATATATTCTCCCAACCAGGAAAATATGATAATAATAATATTAGCTAACACATAGTGCTTACCATGTGCCAGACACTGTTCTAAATACTTTATTTATATTATTTAATCTTCACAAAACCATATGAGGCATAGGTACTATTATTATCATTCTCAGATAAGGAAATAGGCACAGACAGGTTAATAAATTACCCAAGGTTATAGGCTATAAGTGGCAGAACCAGGCTTTGAACCCATTAGTCTGATTACTATTATCCATACTTTTAACGTCATTCTTATAAGCATTTGAGCCCAATGCTCAAAGCACTGAATAGTAAGTAGCAAAACTTGAAAGTCAAGTTACTTGCTCGAGTCCTAGTAAGTGAAGAGCAGGATTTGAACACAAGTCTGTCTGATTCCAAAGCCCATGCTCTTTCTTTTAAACTATGCCACTGGGGATTGTAGTATAACTTTCACAGTATCTTACTGTATGCTTACCATTCTCTACTCATTATTTAGAGCTAAAAGTGCTGAGTTTAATATTAAGGCCCCTTTGAGCCTGACGCTTTCAATTCCCATGAGAGTATTTGTTCAGAGAGTCTGACTTTGTAACCTCTTTCATTTGTTCAAGAGCTAGGTATGAATACCAGCCTATGCTCCTTTAGTGTCCAGGAAGGCCTAAACCAGAGCATGGATAGTGTAAAGTTTTGGAGTCAGACACACCTGGATTTGAGTGCTGACTGTACTGCTTAACTATCTGTGACATAAGCAAGTTTCCTAACAGTTTTAAGCCTTAGTTTTCTCATCTGAAACTACCTTGTAGAATTCTTAGTATAGAATGCCATAATGCAGATAAAACACTGCATAGTGTTTTAGGACATAATAAACAATACAGGGTAGCTATTATTATTACTGATTAATTAATTAATTTTTTAAGAGATGGGGTCTCACTCTGTCCTGCAGGCTTCAGTGCAGTGGCACGATCATAGCTCACTGCAGCCTCTAACTCTTGGGCTCAAGCGATCCTTCTGCCTAACCCTCCTAGTAGCTGGAACTACAGGCACATACCATGAGGCTCAGCTATTTTAAAAATTTTTTGTAGAGACAGAGTCTTGCTTTGTTGACCATGCTGGTCTTGAACTCCTGGCCTCAAGTGATCCTCCTTCCTCAACCTCCCAAAGTGCTGGGATTACAGCCACTGCACCCAACCAGGGTAGCTATTATTGTTAGATCAGCTTTTGTCTAATAGATCGAGTAGACAGTATATCATTTAATTTTCTTTCATTCTCACCTATGCTTACTTTTCAGTTTAGCTAATTATATTTGGTTACAACTAAATATTTTAAGTTATAAATAAGTGTGATTTTTAAAAACACTTTATTAGAATATGGTAATTTTTAAAAATATGATTAAATATCTATATACTTTCCCTAGAAATATGACATACATATTATTTTGAATTTTGTTTCTAGGAGTTCAGGGATATCCCAGGACCCCAGGTTAAGAGCCCCTGGTATAATCTTTTTCCCTATAGGGATAAAAATGGTGAGTTTGACTTGGAGCTGTCCAGGGGAAGCAGTGTAGAGTAGTGGTTTCTGGACTCAGATTACCTGGGCTTTGGATCCTGGATTCTCTAGCTGTATGACCTGAGTCAAGTGATCTGTAATTTCCCCATACTTTGGTATTTTTATTGGAAAAATGGGAGCAATAATACCTACTTCATAGAGTTGATTTGGAGGCAAATGGCATGATGCATGTAAAGTTTTTTGCTTGTCACATAGTTAGTACTGAGTAAATTTTAAGTAAAAAGAGGACTTAAAGCTGAAGTAATGTTTCTCAACCCTACCCTTACCTGCATGGCAGAATCATCAGTGTACAAGTGTGGAGCTTTAGAAAAGTACATATGTGGAGTCCCTTGCTTTATTCTCACCACTGGATCCTTCCCTACCCTTGATATTCTAAATCAGTACATCTGGGGTGTAGCCCAGGCATTTATATTTTTTTAAAGTTACATAGGTGATTTTTTTTTTTTTTTTTTTGAGACAGGGTCTCTCTCTGTTGCCCTGGCTAGAGTGCAATGGTGTCATAGCTCACAGCAACCTCAAACTCCTGGGCTCAAGCAATCCTGCCTCAGCCTCCTGAGGAGCTGGGACTACAGGCATGCGCCACCATGCCTGGCTAATTTTTTCTCTATATATTTTTAGTTGTCCAGCTAATTTCTTTCTGATTGTAGTGGAGATAGGGTCTCGCTCTTGCTCAGGCTGATTTTGAACTCCTGACCTCGAGTGATCCTCCTACCTCGGCCCAGAGTGCTAGGATTACAGGCTTGAGCCACCATACCTGGCCTTTTTTTTTTTTTTTGGTGAGACAAGGCAGGGTCTTGCTCTGTTGCCCAGACTGGAGTGCAGTGGCCCAATCATAGCTCTCTCTAACCTCGAACTCATAGGTGATTCTCATGTGCAACTGGGATTGAAAACTGCTAACTCAAAGCTATTCTAAGAATGGGCTATCTTTTGTAATTTTAAATTCACTTTCAGAAATGAGAAAACTTGTCTGGATATGGTGGCTCACCCTTGTAGTCCCTGTACTTTAGGAGGCTGAAGTGGGAGGATCACTTGAGGCCAGGAGTTCAAGACCAGCCTGGACAACACAGCAAGACCTTGTCTCTGCAAAAAAAAAATTTTTTTTTTTTTGAGACAGAATCTTGCTCTGTCACCCTAGCTAGAGTGCAGTGGTGCAATCATAGCTCACTGTAACCTCAAATTCCTGGGCTCAAGCTGTCCTCCTGCCACAGCCTCCTGAGCAGCTGGGACTACAGGTGCACACCACCACAACCAGCTAAGTTTTTCTATTTTTGGTAGAGGCAGGGTTTCACCCTTGCTCAAGCTGGTATTGAATGCCTGACCTCAAGCGATCCTCCTGCCTCGGGCTCCCAGAGTGCTAGATTAGAAGCGTGAGCCACCACACCCAGCCCCCCAATTTTTTTTAATTAGGCAGGCGTGATAGTGTGCACCTGTAGGCCCAGCTACCTGGGAGGCTGAGGTGGAAGGATTGCTTGAGCCTAGGAGTTCAAGGTTGCAGTGAGCTATGATCATGCCTCTGTGCTTCAGACTGGGCTACAGAGCAAGACCCTACTTCTAAAAAAAAAAAAAGAAATGAGAAAACTTAAAATTCTAAGTTTTCTAAAACTTCTACAATTAAGAAATTTTAAGTGGTGACCAGTCCAGTCTTCTCTCACTTAAGTTGAGGATTTTCTCATTCTTGATTGTTCCCTGAATCTTTTCCTCTGCCAGAGAATGTTACTAACTGACTAGTATTTCAAACAGTTCAGTTGGAGGCTTTCACCAGAACTGAATTTCAAGTAATTTCTTTCATTGCTATACTAACTTGTTATGCATGAATCAGTCACACCTAATGGTAGTAGTCATACTTAATTCTTCCAAGGTCATTTCTCTGAGATGACTTTAAAGATAAGCAGTGTTAGTTTATAAGGTAATTATTTTAGGCCAGGTCTGATCCTAGAGAAGTCCAGGTTTTTGAAATTATAATTTGCCAGTATTTTTAAAAACCTGAATGCTGTGTCACAAGCAACATCTCTTTTTTTCATATATATATATATAAAAGAGTATTTTAATTCTTGTGCTTAGAAACTATAAAGACTGTACATGATTTGGAAAGGAGAATGTACCAATGGCCAAAGAAAAGTCATCCATTCTATGCCTTCTCTTTACCTCGTCACTCAGAAATATAATGTTATCAGCTGTGATTGTTGTTGCTTATCGCCTCGCATCATTTTTATCCATGTATTCACCATAGTCTACTTTCCCTTCCACATAAATTTGAGACCTCTTTTTCACATCCTAATATGTCATATGTCTGAGGCCTGGCTAGAGTAAAGATATTCTGTTGTCCTTTGACTGACATCACCCATTTGGTATATTTCACTGTCCCCTGGTCATCACATCTTATTTGTTGCTAGAGAAGATATTGTGACTGGATTTTTTTCCTTTCACCTGTCTCATGACAGAGTCCTGATCCACTTGCCCAAGTTACTGCACACAATTCAGGGATCTTTCAAGAATCAAAGTGCTAGCTACATCAGATTCGTCTCTTACAAACCGGTGAAGTAGCTATAATATAGGTCTGTGAAGTATAGCTTCTGTTTTCTTTTCTTACAATGTAATCTTTAGACTCTTCCTGTTGTTCTAGGCTAGGCGACAATCTCCAACCAGGAGATCACTTCTGGGGCACCAACATTTCTTGTAAGAAGAAAGAGTAGGGTCTCTTCACAATATCTGAATGGATATATTCTTATTTTCTGACAGCCTATTACTAGCTCTCCACCCAAATGGATGGCTGAGATAGAACGTGATGATATCGACATGTTGAAAGGTAAGCGATGCTGGTGACCTCTAACTTTTAACTAGATACTTATGTTCTTCCACAAACCGCCTTCCAGTTTTTCTCTTACTATTCCCTTACTTCTTGGCTTCAAACTGCCCACCCACTTAACCCTCCTTATTTATAGTTTTTCATGTCTGGAATGCCTTTCTCTAATTTTGCCATGTGTAGAAATCTTGCCAATTCAAGACTCAAGTCACTATTGAATTCTGCTGCTAAATTCTTTTAATATTAATTTTGTATATAATACAATTATTGGGAATAAAAAGATTTTTGCATAACATTTGCAGTTAACAGAAAGCTCTAACATCAACCTTCTCATTTAATTCTCATAAAGGTCTTGGGAGTTAGGTATGATGGTATCCAAGGTTCAAAAGTTAACTTAACCCAGATATGTTAGAAAGAGTTAAAATCTTAACTGCGATCTTTTATTTTAAGTCTGTTTTCTTTCCACTATAACACAAGTGCCTTAGTTAGGATTTACTGCTGTCTATTGTTGTCAGTACTATTTATGACAACGCCTTAATGGGTTAAGGCTGGTTTTTTATTTCTTTCTATCCCATCAATTTCTTCTGTAAAGAATACTATAAGTAGTGAATATTGTTGTTTGACAAATGATTTGGAACTCAATCACAAAGTGGAAATTCAAATTAAAAAACATTAATTTTCCATGATTTTGCTCTACTTTATTTATTTTATCATCTTCTTGGTGATAAGATTCATGATGATTGTGAAGTAATAGACTGAAATTAAGGTAAAAACCTGGGATTCTTGAGCAGTTAAGCAGCTGAACAGATCAAGAAAGTCTACTTATGCTGAGTATAGATAATGATGGCAGCATGATAAATGAGAGGAAAAAAAAACACCTTTATTTGATTTTAGAAGTAATTCATTGTTCTGCATGAAATGCTTAAATGCAGATCCCCTCTTCCAACCATGGAAAAATTAAGTCTCAAGGGCATTTCAGGTTCATTGTTTTAATGTTCCAAACAGACATTTGTATAATATCCCATCAGCACGTATTTCCTAAGGAAACTTTATATTTTTAGTGAAGGATCATAGCATTATGTTTTATGCTAACTGACCTGTGTCTTAAACCTGCAAGGGATTGGCAACTGTTTAAATGAAAATCTGGGAAAGTAAGTTTTTATTTTAAGTATACTGTCTTTTTACTTGGTAAACTTAAAAATTTTTATAGGTATTTGATTTGAAGGAAAAGTTTAGATTTATATTTAGTCTTTGTTTTCTAAACTTAGGGAAATGAGGAACAGTAAGTGTTTTGTTGCTATTTTATTGTTAATTGAAATAATGGGTCCTCTGGTGTGTACTGAGATTTGGAAAAAAAAAGGAATGGGGACTTAAAAATGACAGTGGAGACAATGTCCATTTTGCAAAATAGAAATCCTATACAAGGCTTTCTCAATGCTAGGTCAATCACAAAGTTTCATATTTTAATGGTGTGTGCCTTTTGTATGATAGTCAAAATGAATGTTATAAGAAGATCCTTGGGATGAAACACTTAATTTGTTATTGTATTTATGCTAACTCTTTTCTCATTAAGTGGATAAGCTCACCTGAGGCATTTTGCAGTAGTGGAAAAATTCTCTGATTTTGTGTGTGTGTGTGTGTATGTGTTGTGTGTGTGTAAGATTGGGGGAGAAGATATAAGGATCCATTGTCTACTTACTCAGTAGGAATTAAGCTTGAAAACTTACATAACAAGGATTCCCAACCCAAATAAGTTGTTACTAGAGAATACTGGAAAGAAGTGATATTGAAATAAATGATTCTGTTTCAGAACTGGGGAGTCTCACCACGGCTAATTTGATGGAGAAGGTACGCGGTCTACAGAACCTGGCCTACCAGCTGGGGCTGGATGAGTGTGAGTACCCAGATCATATTTATTCAGGGTTACATGCTGTGTATTTCATGATGAGTTCTGGTTATAATTCAGAAAGTATCTTTAGAGAGAAGATAAGTGTTCTGAAGGTAAGAGGTCAATGTAATCTAAATTGTGCCTTTTATGATAGAGCATACTGGAATAATTACTGATTTACTAGGTAACAAATTATTTTTCTCAATGCAGTAATAGTATATAGCAACCCTTTCAGTTTTAAGCAATAGAATGTCAACTCAAACTAGATTAAGCAAAAGGGAGACTTTGTTAGTTCACATAAATTAAAAGACTAGGGGTAGAAATAGCTTTGAGGATATCTAGATCCATGACACTTAATGATGTCATTGGGATATACTGTTTAGTTTTTGTTTGTTTTAAATTTAAGTAGAAAGTTTATTTGGGCCAAGCTTGAGGATTGCAACCCGGGAGCATAGATTGAAGTTGTCCTGAGTAAACATTCCTGGGTGCTATTGTTCTTGCTTTTGTTTTGTATCTCAGGGCTTTGCTGCACTCATGCATTAGTCTTCTATTCTTTGCTGCTGCAGATTGCTTTTTCTTAGCGCTGGGGAAGGTGGCCAAAAGGAGCTCCAGTTAATGTGTCTTTAAATCTCATTATCCCAAAGGAAGAAAGAATATCTTTTCTGAATGTTCGAAAAGAAAGTTCCTGAGGAAGACTCTGTTCTGTCTTGGCTCACCTACCCATTCTTAAACCAGTTCTTTGGCCAGCTAGCATGGAGCACTCTGATGGACCGAGCCTGGGTCCTGGGTACAGATGCAGATTAGAGGGGTTGCTCTGACCCAAATCACATGGAATGGGAAGGATGGATTAGTGTCCCAAAGCAAGGGATATGTGATAGACCAAGAACATATCTTTTACCGTGAATAACACTTTAAAATTTCTCATGTACACCTGTCTGTTCTTCATTCTTTTTAGTTTAAATTATTTCTTTATAAATTGTGTCCCTTCCACTGCATTCATTAGAAACTAGAAAAGGTCACTTGACATTCTACTGTGCTAAAGAAGAGAAATAGAAAAAAGACAAAATTGGAAAAGGAATTGTAGAAAATTCTCACTTTGCAATTGAAAGAAGAGATACTCAGCGTAAATACAGTGGTTAGAACCTTGTTCTCAAGGGTACTTCCTGAAACCTTTATAATCCACAATGTTGAGGTACTTCTATAATTTATAATTTTCTTCAAAAATATGGATTTTGCACTGATTGCAACAATCCCAAAAATAGTTTCATAAGTTATTTTTCTTGTTTCATTAGAGCATATGGAACATGTAGTGAATTTGTTCACATCGTTGATTTAAGTTACTGCCAAATTCAACATTTCAATTTTTTTTTTTTTTTTTTTTTTGATTTTTTTTGAGACAGAGTCTCACT